GACATCCAGAGACCGTGCGCACGGTGCTCCTGAAGGTGAGCGCCCCAGCCGAGCAGAGAGGCATCTGTAGTGATTTGTAGAGATGGTTTGCGGGCATGAAAGGGGACCCCTGTTAGCATGTTGTTGGGGCTGTCCCACCATGTCAGGGAAGTCCGCACCTGACTGGGCAGAGAAACCACCCTGTTCGTACTGTGCACCCAGGGCGTGTACACGGTGAACAGCCAATGCTGAAGACTGCGCATATGGAGTCTGGCATGCGGAACCACATATGTGGTGGCTGCCATGTGTCCCAATAGCTGTAGACAGGTAAGTATTTGGGACTTGGGAGAAATTGATACTGATTTCACCAGGTCCTGTATGAGTTGAAACCTCTTTACTGGCAAGTATGCCCTCGCGGTTAGGGAGTTGAGTCTTGCTCCGATAAACTCCAGGTCGTGCGCATATGGAGTCTGGCATGCGGAACCACATATGTGGTGGCTGCCATGTGTCCCAATAGCTGTAGACAGGTAAGTATTTGGGACTTGGGAGAAATTGATACTGATTTCACCAGGTCCTGTATGAGTTGAAACCTCTTTACTGGCAAGTATGCCCTCGCGGTTAGGGAGTTGAGTCTTGCTCCGATAAACTCCAGGTCGCGAGTAGGTGTCAGGAAGGATTTCTTGAGATTGATTATGAGTCTGAGGGCTGTAAACAGAGTGGTAGTTGCAGACACTGCCCTCATGGCCTTGTCAAGTGTGGAAGCCTTTAGCAGGCAATCATCCAGGTACGGAAAAATTGTAATATCGAGGCACCGCAGGTAGGCCGCCATTACCGCAAGGGTCTTGGAGAAAACCTGTGGGGTCGCCAACAGTCCAAAAGGTAGCACGCGATACTGATAGTGGTCGGACCCCACTATGAAGCGAAGGAAACTTCTGTGGGCTGGGTGTATCGTTATATGGAAGTAAGCGTCCTGAAGATCAAGGGACGCAAACCAATCCCCTTTGTCGAGAGCCGGAATGATCGAAGATAACGTGACCATCTTGAATTTTTGCCTTCTCAGATGATGGTTGAGCCGACATAGGTCCAGGATAGGCCTCCAACCCCCTGATTTTTTCTGGGTGAGGAAGTAGCGAGAATAGAATCTTCTCCCCAAAAAGCGTGTTGGCACCCTTTCCACTGCCCCTAATGTGAGAAGGCGCGACACCTCTTGATGGAGAATAGTCATGTGAGAGGGGTCCTTGAAAAGGGAGGAGGAAGGGGGGGAGGGAGGGGGAAGAGAAGTGAAGGGAATG